GCATCTCATGCCTCTCCAAGGGATTATATCTTCCTCTTGATCTTAATGAAATGTGATATTATTTATCAAAAAAAAAAAGAAACAAGAACAAGAGAAAAACCTTGAGGGGGATTCCGACCTGTAGAGATGATGGGCCGAATGGGCCTCAGTTTCTTTATTTTTCTTCAGTTATGTGATGGTGGGTCGAATGGGCCTTAGTTTCTTTGTTCTCTTTAAGTTATGTGTATGACTTATGTTTGTTAGTAGTGGGCCTTAGTTATGGGCCTGTTTTTCTCTTTTATTATTGTCTTTAGTGCTGACTGCCCTACTAAGGGTAACCATGTAATTGTCCTCATTATTACAATCGAAGAATAAAGATATTGTTGGGGGCTGAAGAGAGGATTAAACAACTCTCTTTTCTCCTTCCCTTTCTTCCATTTCCTTCCTCCATCACTTCTCTCTTTTCCATCTCCTTGAATCTTCTCCTCTCATGTTTTTTCTTTTCTCTTGTTTTAGATTATTGCAGGTGGGATTTACAACTTAAATTCTACTATCCACACAAGTCATGTATGCTTTCTACTACATGAACCCTCAGACTCACGTAAGGAAGAAATTACCTTGAATTTATTCAAAGAAAGGGAATACAAAGAAGGGAACTTATCCTTTTAAGGGAGTGTTCCCACACCAAATATCCTCCCAAAACAGAACTTTGTTACCTAAGCACACATCATACCTGGTGTATGGTTGAAAGGAATGCAGGAGATCAACAATGGCTTTCCAAGGAGAAAAGTGAGAAGCCCTTGAGTCGACACCAGCATCCCATCCATTTGCTTCCAAGCCATGTATGTTTTCTACTACAGAGTGTCATAAACTGTTTGTCTCTAATGGAAACCTCCACAACCACTTCCCTAGCAAAGCCAAATTTCTTAACCTAGGGTAAAGAGGAAGGGGGTCTCCTTGTCTATGGCCCCTCTTAGTAGGAAAGAAGTCCCCAACTACTCCATTCACCATGACAGAATAGTGACAAGTAGTGATACAACCTTTAATCCATTTGCAGCATCTCTCTCCTAAACCTTTGTTTCTCAAGATGAAGTTTGCAAATCTGGCCCTTTTCTCCTTTTCTTTTCCTATAATCCATGCACTCATTGGCGATTAGTATTTGATCAGCAATTTGTCTCCCTAGCATGAAATCCCCTTGATATTGAGAAATTAAACTAATAGGCCTAAAGTCCTTGGGTTGAACTGCATCCACTTTCTTGGGGATTAAGGCTATAAAAATAACATTTGTACCCAAGTTACAAATCTTGGTAAAAGGCCATTGTGAAACCATCTGGGCCTAGGGCTTTTGATCTATCCATAGAGAACAAGGCATCTTTTATTTCTTGAACCTCAAAAGGCCTCTCTAAGGGTTCCAGAAGCTCCCTCTCTCTGATTTGCCAGTCAAAACCCACTAAGGGTTCCAGAAGCTTCCTCTCTTGGCAACACTTCTCCATTCCACTCCAACCTTACTACATTAATCTTCCTTTTTCTTCCATTTGCCAAATTATGAAAGAACCTTGTGTTAACCATCCCCTTCTTTTAACCAGTTGCATCCTGCCTTTTGTCTCCAGCTTACCTCTTCCTTCCCTAGGGTTTCCTCTAATTCTTGTTGCATTATTTATTTATTTTTATCATTAACAGAAAACTTTTATTAATAAGAAAGATTGAAATACAAAAGGTAAACTCTCTTAACTCTCCCCCTAGAGAGAAAATTACAATGTAGCCTAAAACAATTGCCTTTTCCCATCCCCTGTTTGGCCAATGCGTCTGCAAAAGAATTGGCACACCTTTTAACCCATTATGTACGCACTTCCATACCCTGAGTTAACCATTTGAATTGTCTTCGCTCGTTAATGTATGTCCACAACCCATCATTTGCCTTCTCTATCCAAGAATCTGCCCTAGAAGGGTCCAAGAAGACCTTTTGCAGAATTTGAACTAAAGACCACACCAAAACCAACTCTAATTCTTTGAGACTTCTTCTATACCCCAAATCCCAATTGAGTTGAGTCCCTAGACCAGAAAAGTCAACAAAGGAGGATGCAATCTTATTTTTGTACCTAGAAAGGGAGAATAAGGAAGGGAATTGATCTTTAAGTGGTACCTCCCCCACCCACACATGTTCCTAGAACCTCACCAAATTTCTGGAGCACAAATTATACTTGACAAAGGGTAGAAAAAGAGGGAAGATAGCATGAATAGCTTTCCAAGGTGCTACAGTAATTACTCGAGATGAAATTCCTGCGTCCCAACCATCAACCGCCAACCCATGTATGCTCTTAACCACCTTTGTCCACAATTTATCCTGATCCACCAGAAATCTCCACAACCATTTCCCCAACAAAGCCATTTTCCTCTTCTGAATGTTCCTGATTCCTAAACCCCCCTGAATCCTTACTTTTACTCACCATTTGCCATCCAACCCTATGATCCTTCTTTTCCTCTCCAGGCTCCCACAAAAAATCCCTCATTAACTTCTCTAACCTTCTACAAATCCTCAAAAGGCATCCTAAAAACTGACATGAAATAGACTGGCTGATTAGCCAAAGTAGATCTAATCAGAGTGATTCTTCCACAAAGAGAGAGATGGTTCCTTTTCCAGAATTCCAGGAGGCTAGCCTTTATGAGAACCTATCCACTACCAGGTTCCAAAAGTTCATACTTCTAGGATTTCCGCCCCAAAGGTAGCCCCAAGTAATTCAGTGGCCATTCACAAACCTCACAACCCAAAATTCTTGCAGAATTAGCAACCTCTCTTTCAGATTAATGCCTGCCACACAGCCCTTACTGAAGTTAACTTTCAGATTAGGCATCTTCTCGAAAACTTGAACTACCTCCTTCAAATTCCTCACCCAGTTTAGATCACATCCCTCACAAAACAAGATAGTATGATTAGCAAACTGCAAATGGGTGACTGGCACTCTCTCTCTTCCCACCCTCCAACCTCTCACCAAACCTCTCAAATATGCTCTCGAGATAAGGATACCTAGCACTTCAGCTACTAGGGTGAAAAGGAAGGGAGAGAGGGGTCCCCTTGTCTAATACCTCTAATAGCTGGAAAATGATCCACTATTGCACCATTCACTGGAATTAAGTAGTAACAAGTACTTCTGCAGCCTTTAACCCATTTTCACCATCTATCCCCAAATCCAAAGTTCCTCATCACTTCCAGCAAAAATTCCTAGTCCACCAAGTCATATGCTTTCTCTAGATCAAGCTTAAAAATCAACCCTTTCTTTCTAGATCTTTCTCTCCAGATTTGGTCTGTGATTTGCCTATCGATAACAAAGACACCTTGATTTAAGGATATAAAAGAAGGAAGCACTGATTTACATCTTCTTGACAGCACCTTGGTAATAATTTTGTAAAGACTATGGACCAGACTAATGGGCCTAAACTCCTTCAATTAGATTGCCCTATCTTTTTTCGGAACCAAAGCAATGCAGGTAGAATTTAAATCTGGATTTATTTCCCTCTACTAAAAAATCATCAAACACCTTTTGGTTGTCCTCCTCCAAAATGTCCCAGTAGTGCTGGTAGAAGGCCATAGTAAATCCATCTGAACCTGATGCTTTAGATCTATCCATAAAAAAAACCGCTTCCCTTATTTCTTCCAAAAGGAACCTTCATTCTAGCCAATTCTTTTGCTTTCCCATCATTCTTGGCCACTCCAACCCTTCCACATGAAGCCTTCCAGCTAGAGGTTTTCTAAAAATTGACTTTAAATGATTCACAAAGGCTCTAGCAATTTCACTCTGTTGAACAACAGTCTCACCTTCAACCTCTAATTTAGAGATGAGATTTTTCCTCCTTCTGTCATCAGCTAAAGCGTGGAAGAATTTTGTATTTCTATCCCCCTCCTTTATCCAAGTTTGCCTAGATTTCTGTCTCCAACTTATCTCTTCTCTGATTAAGATATCCTCCAATTCCTTTCTTAGTCTCCCTCTTTCCTGCTTCTCTCTTTCTCCAAATATTCCATCATTCTCTTTACTGTCCAGCAAATCAATATTATCAATTTCCTCTTGCTTGTTTGCTTCCAGTCTCCCAAACTTCTGAACATTCCATATCTTGATTTTTGCTTTCAACTCAATATTATCGATTACCTCTTGGTTGAATGACCTTTTATTTATCAATAAATGTAGATGTGCCAGTACTGATTATAAATAAAGAGGATGTCAATCTGTCTTCTGGCCCGATTGTATGTTTATGGCTTCATTGACCTTTCGTTTCTAGTATTAACACTAGAGAACTCATAATTTCCACAAATTTGAGCTTGCTAGCAAAAAATGTAGATTTTAAATGATGTTGATTTCTTGGTTGTGTTGTAGACTCCTTATATGGTGCTGTAGATTTTCTCGTTACATATAGTTGGCCCCTATAGGCAATAGCAGTGATCATGTGCCTTTCTCTCTTTTATTTGAATATAGCTCAAGATAGGAGTCACCTGGTTGACTGAAAAACAAGCATACACAAAATTAGAGAAGACCATTCAATTTCTCCATCCTGTTCTTGATGGATTGGTTGGATTCTAACTATCATACATAGACCAGGTAAAATTAAAACAAAAATTATCTAAATATCCTATACAATCTAAATTGGACATAAGGCCAGTAGGATGGCACTCATGGGCTATGATGTACAGAAGTCTATACATGCTATGTGTACCTGTGTTGGATATTATACTTTCCCAATACTACATTGGATGTTTAGTCTGAGAAACCGTTTTAAATGTTTTATCTTTTCTTGTATTCATTTATCAGAATCATTCCAATTATTTGGTGAATTTACCTTTCTCTGTAGTTTGTCAGCCAATTTACTTAATTAGCATTTTGATAAACTCTTCTTACAACCTGAAATTATTATATTGAACCTGTTTCTTAACTCTCAGAAGTTCTTACCCTGCCCCCCTCCTGGCAGCCTCTTTGTGGGTCTGGTTTGGTTTTTTGGCATTGAGAAGTACTTACTGTTTGACATTTTTCCAGGTCCCTGTTTACAAGGAACCATCTTTTACAATTCCTGGAACCCCAGGAATTGTACAGCATAAAATTTTAAATAATAGAAGGCATGTCCTGACTAAGGTGATTATGATGCTTGCCTTTGACATGCCCATTTTACAGGGTTTTTATTTGTTTTTTTTTTTCTTTTTGTATATACTATGGTCATGATTAAAAAATGCCGGTATTGGTTAATATAGTTTTATAACCTAATCTCCCTTTACTTTTCTTTGGTAGGATACTGCAGGCTCAGTGAAGCTATGGGAGATCACCAGGGGCATTGTGGTTGAGGATTATGGCAAGGTTGCTTGAGTAAAATTGTTCCTTATGTTTGATTGTTGACTAAAGCAATATCATTGTTAGTCATGTGGATGTGCTGGAAAGGAAAAAGTACTGATGATAATGCCAAGTTTTCTTATTTTGTGATGCATTGTTATGGATTAATTATATTGGCTACTTTGCAGGTTTCATTTGAAGAGAAGAAGGAAGAATTATTTGAGATGGTTTGTAAATATAAGATATTTGCATTCAATACCATATACAATTTTCAGTTCTTTAGACGACCTTTCTGTTTTCATTTATTTTTGGCTTCTCCAGGTAAGTATTCCTGCATGGTACACTACGGATACTAGGCTTGGAAGCTTGTCCATCCATTTGGATACCCCACAATGCTTTTCTGCAGAAATGTACTCTGCTGACCTTAACATATTTGGGAAACCTGAGGATGACAAGGTAAATTCTTTAATTGTCTTTCTTTGTATCTTATTTAAGCAATAATATTTTTTGATTGTTTATTTATAGTAATATGAAAACCTTTTCTTTCTTCCCCTTTTGGTGATATAGTGCAGTTACTTGAAAAATGTCTTTAATATTTTGTTCTATAATAAATTAGATGCCCAAAATTGTAGTCATTTTATAGATTATGCAATATATGATAACATGTTGGGGGCTTTTCTTTTTCACATTTTTCTTGATGAAGAATTCTCTAAAACATAGTTGTCAAGCGATCCCTAGGCAACAAGGCGCCCKTGGAGGCTTGCCTCACCTAATAGCGAAGTAATTTTGTACATTGTGTTATAAAATACTTTTCTATTCTTAATTTTTGGAGTTTATAATTTTTAAATAGACATTATTGAACTAAAATATTCATTTTKTGTGTTTATATACTAATTTCTTTTTATTATTTTCTTATTTGTTAGAGTTTAATCAACATAGACATTGCTAAATGTTGTATTGAACCCTCAAAAACTTCTAGACTTGAACCAATATGTAATGAAGTGTGAACCAACATGAAAAAGAATAAATAGTAAATCAAGAAGAAAATAGGAAGAAGAAATAGAGAAGAAACCAAGATTTAACATGCTTCGGCTTGGTAGCCTACATCCATAGGAATAGAAGGAAAAATATCTACTATGAGAACAAGAGATACATGGCTGACCTCTCTACAGATCACAACAAAATATCCACTGTCACTCAACCCTAATCCCACACAACTAATGGCTTAAATAAGAAAAAGACCCAATTATATCCGAATTTTACATAGGCCCCCTTCCTTTCATAAATACATACAAGTCCCCAAAATTTCTCAACATTACAAATTTACCCTTATAACTAGGGATGGATTCGAGTCGAGCCGAGCCAAATACTACCAGGCTTGAGCTCGGCTCGAGCTCGATTTTGAAAAAAAATATTATATAAAAATATTTTTATTTGATATTTAAAAAATTAAGAATTATAATATTTTTATTATATATATATTATTTTCTATCATTTTATTATATATATAATACATATTAAGTATCAAATATATATATATATATATATATATATATATATNATAATCGAGCCAGTGAATTGGGCTTGAGCTCAGTTGAAACTGAGCCGAGCCGAGCTCGAGCAGCCAAACACAATATCTATCTACACCCTCCCTCAAACTCAAGGTGGGGAAGCCAACTTGAGTTTGCAAGTAAGGATATTGAAGCAACCTCCATGAAAATTATTGTATTGTTGAAGCAACAACCATGAACTTGAGATGTTGAAGGGGCCTCTTAGAAACCAAAGTTGAATGAACAAATGTTAGAAAGCTAGAGTAGAGCCAAGTGATGTTYTAGTAATCACCAAACTAAAGCTGGCCAATACAAAACCAACACATATCATGCCAAAGAATTGAAGTTAGCCATCAAAAGGCCAATCACAACCATTGTGCTGAAGACCCAGCAATGTCAAACAACTAGATAATCGGAAATGCTAATAGAATTACCAAAACAAAGTTGGCTAGCGGAAAGCCAACCGTAGTGAACTCCATAAAATAGAGCTAAGATTTAGAGTTGATCAACAAAAAGCCAACTATGAACTCCATAAACCAAATCGAGTAATCAGAAAGCCAGCTAGATAAAGTGAATTAAAATCCCATGTCACCTAAGGAGATCAAAACTCCAAGGATTTCTTCAACAATAACTCAGAACTGATGAGCATAATAAAGGATCATTGTTCAAACATTTTGTCAAACATCTTCCATGCAAAACATAAGGTAAACAAACCAGATATTGATCGATGATAGTAGATCTATCATTCACCAAAATATTCCAAATATCAAACCAAGCCACAAACAAGATCGGATTAGAACCAATCATAACGATGGAGAACCATTGTAAAAATTTTTCACTATCAAGACATTTCTCGAACACCAAACAGTCACCTTGAGATCCAGTATCACATACTCATTGATAATCATAAATAGATCGGAAAAGTTGTAGAGCTCCCAAAGAAAACACCAAACTTGACTAAATGATCATCTGCCAACCTTTAAGATAGGCCTTGTTTGGCACGTCTTTTTGCGCAGGCTGTTGACTGTTTAGATGCTTGGCAGCCTGTGTTTTGGTCTTTTCCCACTTGGTTGGGAAAAGATCTTGCTGTCAAAAGATGACGCCCTGAAAAGACTCGCAAAGCCCATTTTGGGCTATTTTCGGGGAGCTCCAAATGGAGCTTTTTGACTTTTTTCATCGTGTCTTTGTGTGGAAAGATGTGCGGGAAGATGCACCTTAACCAAACGGTCTTCACGCTGCTAAGATCTTAATGCAAAAGCTCACATTGTCTTTTGGTTATCAAGTCTGCCAAAAAACGATGTCAGCTTTTGGTTATCAAGTCTGCTAAGATCTTAACTGTTCCTTCTTTTCCTTTTCTTTTCTTTTATTGAGGGCTTAAGTTATATTTGGAAGATAAGAGTGTTTGTCTTCCCTTGTTGTAATTATTCTTCTGCTGTTTCAATGAATTTAATGAATCTGTTATTGATCCAAAAAAAAAAAAGACTTGCCAAACGACACCATAGGTAATCAAACAATTGATATGCAATATAGAAACCAGAATTTAATTGAAGATATGAACTAGTTCATATGCTAAGGAGGGAAACATAAATCCTTTCGTAGAGGGAGTCCTTCCAAGGAGCCAACAAAAGAGAAAATCCAAAAAAAAAAAAAGCAGCTTTAATAGTATAAAAAAATAAGGACTGGAAGATGCCCTAATTTATCATACAGATCAGATTTCCTTACCCAAATGACCCTTTGATCATCTTTCTCATATAAAAATGACCTGAACTCTAACGCATGCTCTGATACCATGTCAACCAACAAGAAAGAGAATAAATAGTAAATCAAGCAAAAAGTGGGAACTAGAAATAGAGAAAACATCAACATTTAACTTGGTTCGGCTCGGTAGCCTACATCCACGGGAAGAGAGGGAAAAATATCCACTATGATAACAAGTTATACATTGGCTGACCTCTCTACAGGCTCACAACAAAGTATCCGCTCTCACCCAACCCTAATCCCACACAACCAATGGATTAAATGAGCAAAAGACCCAATTATATCCGAATTTTACATAGGCCCCTCTTCCTCTCATAAATACATATATGTCCCCAAAATTTATTTTACAAATATAGCCTTGTAACCTAACACTCTACATGAAGAACTTAAAATTTTCTTTTTCTGTTACAAAAACAAGGGTTTAGCGCCTATGTTTTTTGAATTTTCTTTTCTATCTTCTTTTTCTTCTTATGAATATGTTGATTTCCTATACTTGAACATGAAGTTTATACTTATGAAAATTATGGATAATTATTAAGAAAATATGGTTATGGAACATAGGGAGCTACCATAGGGTATATGTTTTTTACTTAAAAAGATCCATCGCCTAGGTGACTAGGCGACAAGGTGCCCCCTGTCACCTAGCCTTGTCTTGGCACCTTGAAAAGTACGCTATAAAAATTTGGTAACTAATAGATGACAAATGCCTACTGTATAGTTATTTTGTCTTATTCTCAATTCTTTTAGATCGGTAAACTTAAATTTATTAATATGTGAAAAAAAATGATGTTGCATTTAATATATATATAATGCAATTAGATATGTTTCTGTATAGCATTCAATATGGCTTTGTTAAGAAAAATGCTGATGTGTAGTAGCCATACTTACCTTAGCTTTCCTCATCTTGTTAGTTGGCTGAAGTTGTTTATCCTGAATGTTCTGGAAAGTATATTTTACTTAGGGTCAGTTTGGAAGGAGTACAAATATGAATATTTAGAGTGCAAAACAGTGTATTTTGTATGTATTTGTACTGTACATATTTGCATTTGTATTCCTTCCAAACTGAGCCTTAAGTATTGATGTATTTTGGTTCCTACTCTGGAAACCTTTAATGTTTTAGTCTACTACCAAGCTCTCTATTTTAAAACTTCTGTTGTTTTTTGATAGTAAGGATAAATATTTTATTAAAAGGAAAAGAAACTACAAATGATTATGGTTTTTCTTTTTCATTAGAGATAAGGGATAAAAGGTAAGGTATAAGAGCTAGATTTGAAATATGTAGCTCCCCCCTGTAACTTAATGTATCCATTGGAGATAAGTATAGAATTAAAACTATCTGCCCCTTATATGGGTCCCCAATACAGCTTCTGTGAAAGGTAAGGAATTGTTGAGGAATGCCTAATGAAAAAGGGGTAAACTAGTATTTATAATTGTTAACGTGTGATCTGGTTTAGAGAAGGTTTAGGAATGATAGTATTTTGAATTGCAACACACATTTACCATAATTATAAAAACACCCCTGGACCCAAAAAGTTGAAAAGACACCCATAATTCCTCATATATTGAACTATAAGGTGGTATTTGAGGACTGTTGAAATAGGTATTGAAACAAATGCAGAAAAGTCCCCAAACTTTAAAACAACTTAAATCCATGGATAGTATTACCATGCTCTCTGATTAAAAAAGGTCAGTCCAGTGCACCAGGCTGCCACCAATGTGGGGTCTGGGGAGGGACTGATGTAGGCACCTTACCCCTGCACGTATACAAAGAGGATGTTTCCAAGATTTGAATCCTGGTCACCCAGGTTGCATTGGATCAACCCAATTGTTGCGAAGGTCCACCCTCACCATGCTTTCTGATTGATATAAGGTGTAAAATTTATACATCTTTAGTGTTTAAATTAATAAAGATTATTGTTATTTATCAAAAAAGTAGGGGTATAATCTCCACCCCCAATGCTAGTGCTTCATCACAGACAAGTAGGTTGCTAGTTTACTAAAATGTTGAATGGGAATTTTCTAAATTTGAAACCTCTTGTTGATTCAACTTTCAATACCTATTTTATCAGTTATCAAATAACAAATGGTTCATATTGATTGGATCCACTTCCAATATATTAAAACGATTATCATACCTTTATTGCCCAAAGAATATTGAAAATGCATGAATAAAGAAAATTTTTCAGAAAACTCCATTTCTTGAACCTTCCCTAGTCAAATTATCTGCTGCCAGACTTAGCTGATCTTGGAGATCATCTAAACATGACCTCCATACTGGCTGTCAATAATCTAGCCTCTCTTATTGCATGCCAATATGGCCATAAGCCAAATTCAATGGTCTCCATCTATCTAATTATAAGGTGAGAGTCTTCTTAAATAATTAATAATCAATTAATCTTTGATAATCCAATACTTTAGCTAACCTCAGTCCTTTGTAGTAGGGCTGTAGGGGTAGTAGTTCTGCACACATTGAATTACCCTTTCTGATTTCTTAAAGCCCTTCCAATACCTGATCTTTCTGGATTTTTGAGATGCTATTCTTTTTATTATCTTGTTTCTCCTTCTCAAATGGTAAACTGCAAATTTGTTGTTTTATCACTCTGTTGGAGTTCTTATACCCCATTTATGAGCATCTCTTGCCTTAAAAAATACAAGTATCCTTTCCTTCCAAAAGCTATCGAAAGGAGCTAAGTTCCAAATAATATGAATTACCATTGTTTCTTTTTCTGGATTATTGGAGTCAACATGTTTCTCTTCTATTAATTTACATGTACTATGCAGGTCAATCTAGCCCGGGAGACCCTTAAGGGGTTGTTGGCTCATTGGTTGGCCAAAAGGAAGAAAAGATCTGGACAACAGGCTTCAGCTAATGGTGATGTTGCATCAAAGGACATGGCTGTTAGAAACCATTCCCAGTCAAGAATTGAGATTGATGGTAATGCAGACAGTGACTCAATGGTCTATCCTCCGTTTGAGTTCTCAACAGTTTCCCCACCCTCTATAATTACTGAGGGTTCCCATGGAGGTCCATGGAGAAAGAAAATAACTGAGTTGAACGGAAGTGAAGATGAGAAAGATTTACCATGGTGGTGTCTCGATTGTGTCTTGAATAATCGATTACCACCCAAAGAAAATACCAAGTAATGTTCCAACCTCAAGTGCATCTCTCTCTCTCTCTCTCTCTCTCTCACACACACACACACACACACACACATTTCTATAAAACTCTTGCTTCTAAAGGCTTACTTGGACTAAGGTGCTGTCTCTATTTCATTTTTGGGTAATTTCTTTAGGTGCTTATTGTTGAATTTGTAACAAAATAAGTACAATTTTTTGGAGAATGCATTTTCACAACAGCCCAGAGATGTCTGAGCTTCTTGAATATATATGTTCAGATTTTTCATCAGAAATTTATTTACCTGTAAGAAAATCTACATTCTAGGTTGATAAAAACTAGGAATTGCATCTTGTTGATTGTCAACCACCTCCTTTCCTGTTGAACTTAGAAATAGAAGAAGAAAAGTTCTTTGTATAACTTCATTTKGAGTTTTTTATTGTTTGATGTAGATATGACAGTAATTAAATGATTCTTAAATTGAGTTTGTTGTTGTTCTCAACAGATGCAGCTTTTACTTACATCCATGCGAAGGTTCAACTGTCCCAGTCCTCACACAAGGGAAACTAAGTGCACCTCGGATACTGCGGATACATAAAGTATGTGCATTTAATTGTTTGCTTTGTTGTTGATTTATCTTTAGATTGGTCAGAATCTACATGCATGGATTGGTCATATATACACACACACACACAATGTATGTACATCTATTTATTATGATGGTAAGTGGTCTTCCTCAGATGGAGATTGTGTGGATGTTTAACCTTTGGATATTTGACAGGATATCCTGACTATTATTTCTATATACTTTGGCCTTGAATTGCAAATATTTTTGGACCTTCTTTAACAATGTTATGTGTAGTTATGCAGCCATTGGCAAATTCTAAATATATATGAATATAGGGAATGGCATCAGTGCCCTGTTCAAAGCTCAAATTTGTACTTCACGTTTGGGTTTTGGGCCAGTCCATACATGAATTCATACTCAGCATTTGAGTCTTAGCTTCTTATTGGACCAAATTCAGATATCTCTATCTGAATTTGATCCAATCCATTTGTGGCACCACATGAAATCTCTTATGTGGACTTGTTTAAGGAGTTTGGTGAAAAGAATTCTAATCACTGAGTAATAAATTTGTATTATTGATATGTTTGTCCAGGTTGTTAACTATGTCGTAGAAAAGATGGTTCTTGACAAACCATTGGAAGGCGGAAATTCAGATGGAACATATGCTCCTGGTTTGCCTGGGCAATCACAACTTGCAACACTTGGAGGGGATGGTTCATTCCGCCCTGGCTTGAAGCCCTGGCAAAAGCTAAAGCCTTTTATAGAGATCCTGTGCAATAATCAGGCAAGTAATTCTATCAAAGATATTTGAGGAAGTTATCAAGTAGCTTGTTAGCCAACTAAATTAGTTTATGGGTTTTAATGTGTTCATGATTCATGGACCACATGTGAAGAACCAAACTGCTTTATCAATGTTGTTCTAATATCATCATTGCAGGATCCATGTTTCTTTTTGAAGAGACCCTCCCTGTTACACTCTTAACTAGCCTTGACAGGCCAAAAGATCACTGGGTTGCTAGTTCTCAGTGCTAATTCTTCTATATATTCACCGTAACTAGTTACCAAATGGTACCCATTTTCCCACTGGTCATTACCCTTCTATTCTTCTACCTGATTCTAAGTTTCAGTTCTGCTCCAGTAAGTTAAACCTGCCAAAATCAACCTAGTCTGAATTCTTGTGGATTTTCTTCTCATCTCAATTATTTTATTTTTGATTCCTAAACAGAGTGATTTATGAAGAGATGGGGAAAGGTGTGTAGCCAAGTGCAAGTCTCACAGTCTTGACGTAAAATAGTGTAATGCAATTTGCAAACCAATTCCATATATAAAATATATGAAAGGAACCCTGAACTAGACTTTAGAAAGTGTACAATCTCTTAAGGTGCCAATTTTTTGAATTTTCAGGTTCTTTTAGTATCCTTGCTTTTACTACATCTTGAATTTTTCTACAATTTAATATTTGTTTCTGAAAATATCATCTGTCCATGGTTTTTTATATGTATGTAATTGTTTACTCTTTTGGACACTTTAATCATCCCACTCGAGTTAATACTGGTTTAGATTATTGGGTGTGCCCTTGTGCTGTGGTTTTATTTATTTTTTGATATACAAGGAAATATTACACCCAACACAAGACCTGAACACCAAGCATATCTGCTAGAGGTAAGAACTTGAGCTCTTGTTGAGTGGCCAAATCTTCTTGAAATTCTCTCTCTTGTCCTTTATTTGCCAGCCAATCTGCCACCTGGTTTCCTTCCCTGTGAACGTGGTTATATGTAACACTCGACTTTGCCTCTTCAGCTAGCTTCCTACCTTGCAACAGTATGACCTTGCAAGTCCATGTCGTCTTCCCACAACCTTTAAGTGCATCAACAGTTGTTTTGGAGTCTCCTATAATAATGTTATTAGCTTCTAAGTCCACTAGTTGTTTATGTGCTCTGAGAGCTGCCCTCATTTCAGCTGTGGCGATGGTAGAAGATCCAATCGGGCATGCTCCTATTTTTATCTCCTCCATGGTTTTGAGTAACATATCTAAAAGCACATAGATCATTTGTCAGTTTGGGAGGGGGGGTCCATTTGACCCATATGTTTGGTTTTTCAAGTCTTTCCTTACATAGGCCCATCTTCCTTTGGGCTTCGATATATTCTCTACAACTTAATAATGGTTGGTCTATGATTTTAGATGGGCTACAATTTTTGTTTTTGATTTTTTTTTCATTTCTGTTTTTCCATAGGTACCACATGATATAACCTGTTTTCTCCCACACCATATCCGATTCTTCGAGGTGTCTATTTCCCTGAATTTCGTCCCACCATTCTATAATACTTTGGTGTCTGTTCTGATCGGGACCTACAATATTATTACCCATTGTTTGAGTCATGATTAGGTGGGGGTATCTGTGTCTATCTAGTTTTATAACATAAGTGGGAATACAGGATAGTTGGTTAGTGTACTTTTATTACTTAAAGGGGTTAACATTGATTCCCTCTCCACCCCTTGCTTAGCTAACCCATCAGCAAAAGAATTAGCTGATATTTTAACCATCCACAGAATTAAGTTGTATTCCAATGGATGCAGCATAGGAAATCCAGAAGAGTCAGGCATTAGGGAAGCTTTTAGGAACGACTCGGGGGGGGGGGGGGGGGGGGGTGGGGGCGTAATTTTAACTCTCTGGACCAGTTGGTGTTGGAATTTCCATAATATTTCAAGGGATGGAATAAGTTGGTGAAGTAGATTTTCAGGGACTGTTAGTGGAAGGGGAGTAAAAGGAAGAAGTATATGGGCCTTGGAATCTCAGGTATAAGATTAGGAGAATAAGGCGTCATTGGCAGATTGCCTTGCCTGTTAGGGAGTGGATATAGAGGAACTAAAATGGGGTGGGTATCCTTTGTGTTAAAATCAAAACTGTATGGATTGGGCTCTTGGTGGGTCAGGATTAGGCTATGTATCTTCTTGCTGTTTACTCTTGTTATGTATATATGAGTGTGCACCTTGTACATTTATCACTTATCAGAACAATTTCACCTATTACTGATCAAAACAAAAGTTATATCCATGCCTTGTTGACACTGGTCTAGGGAATGATACAAATCCAGACTGAAGTTCATCCAACTTGAAAAATGTTAAACTAGGAAAACGGCTTCCTGAATTGTAATTCCTATCTTTTTATACTTTTATTTGTTATGTGGTTGGTGAGATGATGCCATGTGGATTTCATCTTGTTAATTGTTCAGGTTTTATCCCCTGACATGAGCTTAGCAACGGTGCGAGCTTATGTATGGAAAAAGAATGATGACTTGGTCCTTAATTATAGGATAGTGCAGGGTCGATGATCTCTTCACTCAATGGAAGGAGGTTAGTGGAAGCCTGAATTTTTATTTTCAATTCATTAATGCTATTATCTGCCCTACTACAATCTTCTTGCAGTTGCTTTAAGATGATAAAATTCAGTTGATTTGATGAAATTTTGGCTTCTGAGATCTCTTCTTTAGCGTTCCTAATACAGATGTGTATCATGCAAGATGAATTTGACTTTGAGATCCATGATGGTTCCCCAGGTTTTAAACCTTTTTGTTGAGTTAACCGTAGTGTTTTGTGCCACCTCACCTGTCTTGTTTTAAGTTTTGATTAATAAACATTGAATTTGATGTTCAATAGATAAGTTACTATGTTGTTGATTATATTTATGATATTTAGAGTTTAAGCAGTTTAAATGTACAAGGCTTCAACTTCTCTGTTAGTAATATTATGATCTAATCAATTAGCTAATTGTGCTTTTTGAAATATTTTCTTTCAGATTTAGATTTCCAATTTCTTGTACAATATTTTATTTTTCAAAAGTGGCACTTCACTTTGCCCAGGTGAACACCTCACCTTGCGCCTTAGACCTCTGGCTCTAGGAATCCTTGTGCTTTAGCAGTCCATGCTTTTAAAACAATTAACTTAGTTACTTTAATTGGATTCGTAACTTAGAATATGGAATCCTCACAAAACTCGAATTAGTCCAGGAATAAACCCGATCATTTTAATTAAGTTAGGGTTTGAGAGTATCTACATTTTGCATTCTAAGATATTGCTTTTCTTTGCATTTTTTTTGCTTTCTATCTATAGATGGTTGCTGGATTGGAGTTTCTGGCCTGTGGTGGAAAGGTCAGGCATGTAAATTACAGGAGTATAACTGATTCTTCAAGGCTGCTGGTCATGATTGGAATTGCTTATTGCTTTCTTGTAAATTTGGAAAGCTGATTATTCGACAAAGTGTTGTTGAAAACTTGCAGAGTTTCCTTGGAGAAATTTTCTAGCCTGGTACATGATATTTCAAGACAAGAGTTTGTGTTGCAAGCATGTAGGCAGGTGATTGATGGTCAGGGTGTACTTATTCTCAGCGAAATTGACTGGCTAGAGGCAGGAGGTTATGAAATTGTAAATGAGAAAAAAAAAACGATGTTACAATTGTAGAAAACAACCTTAAAAGGAGCAAAATTAGAGATAAAGACAATGCCAAAAGCTGTGTAGATGAGGATCTGTGGGGCACCTAAAGAACTGTTTTTAGAAAGTATTGTTTGTTGGTAATAAAACAATTTCTGCTTGTGTGAAACTAGTCATTCAATTTATATATTCCTTTTCTTCATCTTTTCTGATGTTCTTCTTTAAGAAAGGTTGGAATATGTAAGATATCTGATGAGGTTTTCCTGATTGCTGATTTCTTGTAATTTCTTCTGTACTTGTTTTTAGCTTACTGGTATAAAGAGGTTATGGGTATTATGTATGCCAGGAAAAAGACACATTTCATACAGAACAGGAAGAAGCCCAGCCCTAGTGGTAAATATCTGGTTATCTGCTTTCAAATTTAATAAGGGTCCTTCATTTTTCTTCTTTTCTTTTTAATTGTGGACATATATAATTCAAACAAAATATGTTTTGAGATGTATATTACAAGTGGAACATGAGACTCTTTGGTGCAGGCGGGTTGATGCTTGGGGGTTGAGAGGGTCTCTTTCTGGTCATTTGTATTTTTTGTATTGTCAAGTCATATTTGATGGATGCTCAACAACTCATTCAGTCTCCTCTCTTTGCAACTTCAACTGCTCCAGAGTTGGATTTGCATTGCACGGGCACTGAGCGCCGAGGTGCCTCCTCGATCTCACCAAGGACTGGGAATCTAGCACATTAATACTTATTTACTTGAATCTCTTCGCCTCCACAAATGTAACGTTACACTGTTTCACTTTCACTAGCACCTTCTGTTAGGACCGGATGGTCAAATTTGTGTAGTGTAACTGAACATGTCCTTGGGGTGTCAATTGGACGGATTTGGTCCAATTCGATCCAGTCCAATGTGAGCCCACTTACTAATGGATTAGACCCAATCCAGTCCAAATCCAATCCAATATTGGAACCAATCCAAACCGAATGAAATATCAAAAATTATATAAAAGCACTTTTATCATTGAAAAAACACTTTTGTAAAAGTACTTTGATAAAAATATTTTCATAAAAGTGCTTTTACAAAAGCACTTTATTGAAAGTACTTCGAAAAAGTGCTTTTGTAAATCGCTTTTCGGAAAGTGCTTCCATGGACTTGTAAAAGTACTTTCATAAGTGTTTTCATAAAAGTTAGAAGTGTTTTTCTAAAAGTACTTCGAGAAAGTTTTTGTAAAAGCACTTTTTGAAAAGTACTTTCAGACTTATAAAAGTACTTTTGTAGAAGTGCTTTTGTAAAAGTACTTTCATAAAAGTGTTTTTGTAAAAGTACTTTTATAAAAATGTTTTTATAAAAATATTTTCGTAAAAGTACTTTCATAAAAGTGATTTTATGCTGATTTCAGTTTTGATTGATTTCAAATTGGACAAGGTTTGGCCTCATGATCGGATTATTGGAAGTTTGGTTTAGGTTTAATTCAAACCAATAAGAGTATGGATCAATTTATTTTGGATTGGCTCAATCCAATAATTATAATGGACTGTCCAAATCTGATTTGATAAGGTTTGGATTTGGATCCAAACCAAAACCGGTGGTCGATTGACACCCGTACTTTTGGGTTAATTAAAGGGACCTCGCCTGTGCTTGACCTCTATGGCTCTATGCTATCTTCTTGTAACTTTCATCTAAGGTGTTAACAGTGAAATGATCAGATTGTTCACAGATCATTTGGATTCTTTTGGGGCAAAAATTAGGTGAAGGGGGTTGGTGATTGTGATGGGGGATGGTAGTAGAGGAGATTATTACGATGCTTAAGATAAAAATGACAAGAGAAAAAGAACTGGAAGTGAATGTAATCATCTGAACCATGATGTGGAGGTAGAAGTGGAGATGATGGACTAGTTCCAACTTGTGGAAAAGGCTGAAAGGCACAGATGAGAACGGTGGTAGAGCAAAAGATGGGCGGATGGGGATTAAAGGGGAGATTAAAGCAGGCGGTGATCAAGGTTCAAAATATAGTAACATATCGGTTCATATTGGTCGATACGTACTATTTCAATAAGAATTCGATACATGGAATGCATTTAAATCATTTATTTCATTTTTTTTTATATGTATCAGTCAATACGGGCCCATATCGGGCTGTTTCGGATATGTATCGACCGATACGGTCCCGTATCAGACTATTTCGGATATGTTTTGGTCGATACAAACTCGAAACAGGCCGATACAAACCGAATCCTTTCAGTTCCCCTTCTTCTATTAATTTGATTAATTTATATTTAATACCAAATCTCTCTCATTAATGTCATTTGTTACTCCTATATTTATGTCAACTTTTCCTTCATTAATTAGTTAGTTAGTCCTATATTTAAGACAAATTTAAATTCGAATTTGAATTTTAGCGCCTAATTCCAATTCTTTCATAAATTTGATTAATTAATGATCCTCTCTCTCATTAATTTCGCTTCGTTAGTATAAAAACTACAAATGTTAACATTAGCAAGACTTAAACCTTAGTCACTAGATTTTAACACCCATAACTTCGCCACTAAGCCACTCCAATTTGCTTGTTATAATTATATACATTTTTAGTTTTAAGTAAATTTTATCATTTCTTAGTTGTGCTTATTAAAAAATGCTGAAATTAATTATGAAAATTTATATACTAATAAATATTAAGATAAATTATATTGGTTATCTGAAAATTGATGTATATTCACATTTTAGTTTTTTTTTTTGCTTTTTTCACATTTTAGTTATTCCATCATTTTTCAACGGTTATTAATTATATCCAAGGTTCAAAATTTCGTCACGTGTCGGCCCGTATCGGTCGATACATATTGTTCTAGCAAGTTTTCGGCATTGTACATGGTACCAAATTGAATGTGCCATATCTATTCGTTGTATCGAGGCCATATTGTGCCCGTATCATTGAGTATCAGTGCGTTTCGGCACTGTATCGGCCAATACAATACGATTTTACTGTGGCGAAAACACAAATAAAACTCCCTTCAAAAGAAGATTTCTAGACCCATTTCAGAAGCCCTCTTTCTTTCCCAAACCCTTCAAAAAGCTTTTAAACCTTTTTAAAGACTCAAATCTTATAAAAATTTGCCAAAACGTCTATATATTTGCAAGATTCAATAAGTTTTTCAAGGTTGTGAAAAAAGGAGTGAAACTAAATATGTTTTTTTTCAAATTTCTTTTACATTTTTAGCCAATGTTAGAAAAGATAAGGGGAAAGAAAGTGGTTTGCCCCCTACCCCTTTGGCTGGGGGGCTTCACCTCCCGGTCCCCTTTTCGTTGTAGCCTAATTTATTTTTTTGAGTTAAGGGGGTCTTGCTCCGCTTTGACAAGACCCCCCTTTTAACAACCATTATGCATTTTTTTTCTTAATATAAAAGTTTTTTATTAAAGATAAAGAAAAAAAATGAAATCCCTCCTTCCTCATCTTAAGGAATCTTACGCCTCTTGCATTCTGAACTATGCTTCATGCCTCTAAGTAGTGGAATGCCTTTGTATTTTAAAACATCGATATATTTTTTTAATTTTTAGAATAAAATATGAAAAATAATTATTTCATCTATTATGTCCACAAATCCATTCAATTTTTTGTTACATGTTTACTTTTCTTAATTTTAATTTAATTTTTAGAATAAAACACGCAAAATAATTATTTGAATAAAAATAAATAATTATTTAGCTTTTAGAAAATTAGAATAAAACATGCAAAATAATTACTTGATCTATTATGTCCATAATTAGATAGTATGTTTCTATTCCCAACTTCCCATTTATTGATTATAATATGTTTTTTCATAAAACCCTCTAAAATGTGTTATTTTTATGCATAAATAGCTCATTTACATCTTATATTTAGTGATATTGATGTTTATTTATGATTTATTAGAGTATTTATAGCATTTTCATGTGTTTCCATGTGTATTTTAATTTTTTGTCCGTATCCATGCGTATACAAGGCATATCCCAATACGTCTCTTAAATTTGCCTTTTCGATACGCATAGCGTTTCCGATACTTTGAACCTTGATTATATCTTGATATGTCACATTTTATATAAACATTAAAATATGTTTTTACATTTAAATGACTTATTTACAATCATATAAAACTTATAAGTATTATTACTAATATATTTTTTATGATTTATTTAAATTTTCTATCATATTTATGTGTATCTTGATTTTTCGTCTATATCTATGCATATCTAAAATGTATCTCGATATGTTTCTTAAAATTGTGTTTTCGATACATCTTGCGTTTCCGATACTTTGAACATTGGGTTCAAAATATCGATACGCCCGATACGTCGGTAGGGGCATATCGGGCGAATTGATACTATTTTTTTTTTGTCTTTTTTTATTTATTTTTTCTGAAACCAGTTCAGGGGGGCTGGTTTAAGGCTCCTCCACCCCTTGAAGACCCCCGATACACCCACTATAGGGGCGTATCAGAGGGGTCCCGGAACGATACATATCGGCCGATACGTGTCAATTCTTTTAACCTTGATGGTGATGTGAATGATGGTGGTAGATTAGTGGAGGCTGAAATCGTTGTATATCATGGATGGCTAAGATTAATTGATTGATCTTTGGATGCAGTTTTGATGGTTGAGGTTGAAATTTTGTCACATTATTTGGGTGGTCAAGGCTGACTAGTTGATCCATTTTGACAGTTTAGATTTTTATGTTGATTAAGATTTGGTGTATTTTTTTGGATTCCCTAGACTAGTTGCATCAAGTGCCTGTTTACTTGAAGCTATTGCACATCATTTGGATTTTTAAGATTGGTTGGCTAATCTTAACAGGTTCTTTTTTTTTTAATCTTTTGTTGTATGACTCCGATCACAAGTATATGTTATAATAATATTAAGGGAAAATTGCAGATTAGTATCCTGTAATTTGGGCATTGACGTTTAAAACATGCCAATTCGGTATTTATACTTTCAAAAACATGCCAATTTAGTAGTTACTGTACATTAATCAGCTGTCAATTATGTGTATTATGTGACATTATGATTGAATTCGGATTAGCTGAACACTTTAGCTGTTCAGCAGGCTGTGGAACCAATTTAGTAGCTACTGAATAGCTAAAAYGTTCAGCTAAACTTTGGTCGTCAAAATTGACTTTCAAGAAAAGAACACCGTTCATCATCTTCTTCMTCAAGAAGATGAAACAGAGGAGGATGGTATGTTGGCGTGATTGATCCATGATCATTAATAGCAGTAATGATATTATAGAAGTGATCCCTACACCTTTGATACGCTACATCGTAACAATCTTTTTGGACAAATACTCAAAGAAATCGGAACAATCTTTGGGTTGTGGATTTCAATCCTAAGAATCTGTGTGGAATCCTGAAAGAAATCTTAACAATCGTAGCAATCTCTATTATTGGTGGGTTTCAACTGTAACCCTAGATTTTTAGACTGAAAGACCGTCTTCAAGGGATATATATCATAAGTGGGTTCATATGCTGGACTGCGTAATAGCAGTTAAGGCTGTTAAGCTCCCGGTGGGTGGTGAGAAGTAAAAAAAAGCCCGGGCCCTAATCCTTCTTGTTGGAGGAGACCTGAACCAGAAACTGATGGTGACAACCGACGATTTGGTAGACTAAATGTTTCTGCTCCTGCTCCCCACGACCTTGTTGCTCATAAATCTTGGCAAGCTCCCCATTGTGACCTTTGCCACCGGCGACATTAATTTTCATTCCTGATATTGCCCTCATGATTAAGGGTGTCCGTGGACCAGTTTTGGATTGGATTGGATCTCGTACAGTCTAAAATCAATTTGGATGGATTGGATAGACCAACAAGACATACTGGATTGAATCAATTTGGTCCAAAATATTTATTAGATTAGATTGGACCTAGTCCGTCCGTAACAAATTTATATTGGATTGGTTGGATTAAGCTAATGTCTGATCCATTGATATAAGATAAGAATATACGTGTCAATGGACCAGGTTTGGGTTGAAACCAATCTAAATCAAAATGAATTTGAACAGATTGGACAGTCTAGACATTGAATTGGACCGGTCTAAATTGATCCAAAACATTCATTGGATTGGATTGGACCCGATTCACTTATAATGAACTCACATTAGAATAGATCAGATTGGACCAAATCCAGTCCAATTGACACCCCTACTCATGATGAAATTGGGATTTGCTGGAATCTTTGTGGGCTCTTACATTTTTAACAACCCGGATCCTTATAATGATCCCCACATGTTGGGAAAAGACCAATTGTAGTTTGGCTGAGACCATGGTGGCATGGTGAGGCATAATATCAATGAAAATAAATACAGTCAAAGGGTTTGGAGCTGGAAACATTGTAGGTGGATGTATCGTTCTGCCTTTTGAAGAATCGAGTGTGATTTTGTGCTGCTAAATGCTTCGTTTATGTTAATTTTGGCATTTTGTTTTCTTTAAAATTTTATATGCAATCCCTTTTCCAGCGTCACCTTCTACGTATTAGAACCAGCATGAACGGGTTTATAAAAAAAATTAGCTCACACCCAAAGGGCATTTGTGTCTTTTTATATTTTATTTAATGGCTTATGGCTGGCTTACAGTAGGTATTAAATTGGCACGTCTTGAAAATTTATGTACTAGATTGACATATTTTAAAGTTTGGGGAGTAAATTGAGACTAGGCCCAAAGTACAGGATACTAATTGGCCATTTTCCCTAATAAATAGGTATAAATGGGTATACTGTGTTTAGTTGCATTGCAATTTGCACTAGTACAAATGCATGCAACTGCAAATAAAAAGAGTTTAACGTTGTTTTGGGTTTTACTTTACTCCGGGTCTTCTATTACTTTCATTTGTACTGCAACGAAACAAAGAAAGTTAAAATTTGAAACAAAAATAAATCAAAATTTGCACTACCACAGTTGTACATCAGTGCAAATAAATTTGCACTGCAAGAACAAAATTGTTTTATAAAGCAAGACATGGGATTTTTTTAATATTTGAAGGTCAAATTTCTTTTGTATGAAACAGTGATGAAAAAAGATCATTTGTCATCATATAAAAGTACAAGGTACTGTGTGAAACCCCCCCAAAACTACATGTCCCTGTGATTTGCCTATGTGGGGTGGGGGGGCTTTTCTGTGTTTCATGAATCATCCCAAGAAAACGATGACATACTGCAAGACTTTGGCATTTCAACTTCCTAGAAATTTCATTGATTAAGACGGGCTACAAAACGTGAATAACCTCTCTCTCTCTCTCTCTCAGTTATTTGTCTCTCTCATATGCCTCTCGTGTGTTTCTAGTTTGATTACGTGACAAAGTTGGGCACCCTCACAGAAAAGCGGACAAGAACATTAATTGTATAGGATAGAAAGTGAAGCAAGAATCTTTGAATCTCTCTGTTCTATTCCATTCTATTTCTATTTCTATTTCTATTCTATTCAATGTACCGGAACCGGAAGAACAGGTGAAGAAGGCAATGCCATCCGATGTTTTTATACTTTTGAGCAAGATCTGGGCTCACATCCAAGAAAAGGGCCCACTAGATTTGGTGACGCGCTTGTGGGCCTTTGCAGAGCAAAACCCATGAGACTAATCTTGATTACTAGAAGCTTATCTACTGACTACTGAAGGGCCCAGGGCTCTCTTCTCTCTTTACGTGGTCTCGTGCTTATCCCAAATCGCAGAGACTTCAGAGCTTAATACACCACTTATTATTATACTTAACATTAGAAGCAGAGTGCCACGACGCGGCTGTTCTGCAAGCCATCCATTTATCTGTTTTTTTTTTTTTTATTCCTAAAACACTTGGTTTTAATTAATTAATTAAGGTGGTGTTTGGTAAATCTTTTCGTGGTCTTCTGGGTTTAGGTTGAAAAACCGAAAATCAGTCTTTTTCTATTTAGGGGGCATTTGTTTTGGGGATTTTGAGAGGGGGGAAACTTACCAAGAAATCCATCATTTTTTTTTCAGATTTATGTAGGGATTAGGGAAAGTTTATTTTCCTAGACATCACTAATCCGTGTGATACACATCTCCTGTGTGGGTAAATTAATTTTTCCATCTAAGGAAAAGTTACCAACACTTGGGTGGGACAAAATTGCCCCTTGATAAAGGAATTTTTATAAATAAAATGGTTATTATTTTATTTATCTAGAAAATAAAAAAACATGAATAAATGCACTTACCCAAGTAAATAATTTATCGAAAAACGAACAAGGCCTTAGTAACTAAAGGCCAAATTTTAGGAAAAACCCGAAAAGACTTAAAAACCCCAGATTTTAGGAAGCTTCAAATGAATATTTTTTATTTTTTTTGCATAATAAATAGTTTTTAAATGTGATTTTAAAAGCTCCATAGACCAATCCACTTGCCAAACGGCATTTGTATTTAAAATATTTCTAAAAAATTGTTGTTAAACGGCACCTCATTAAAGTAGCTTTTCGGTTTTATCATGTCAAATAATAATAAAAATTAATAAGTTAATAATCGCATAGCTTCCATTGATGTATGAACATACGCTGCAGTATTTTCTTGATTAAGATTCCAATCTAACAGTCAACATACCGTGCTTTGTATCCTGATCAGGGTGGCTAATTATTTACTAGAACCGTTAAAAGCTTAAAAATCTGTTGGGACTAATGAGACAGGATTGGTGGCTTTTACCAGAAAATTGGGTTCAGGACTAAAAATATCAGACCTCTCCTTCTTCTCTCTCTGTTGTGTGTCAGTCCGTCTGTAAGACTGTACTCTGTAGTTGTTATTGTCCTTTCCCTATAATCCTTTCTCTTTTGGAAAAGATCGAGCGAGAAAACCAGAAATCACCTTTTTGTTTCTCGTCTCCTTCTTCAAGAGACAAGAGAGAGAAGAGATTCAGCAAACCAGCTTTCCCTCGTTGAAGTCTAAAATCTGGAGAGAGTGAGAAACCTTTTCTGTCGTCAGCATCCCTGTCTGTGCCGTTTCTTTTACATAGAAAAATGCAGGCAGTGAGGGCAGTTTGAACGTTCTTATGCCTTGTTATAATTTTCCTCATTACTTTCTCTGTTCAAGTCTGTCTTTTCTTCTTCTCTCCTCTGTTTTCCAGAGAAATTGCAGAGATATAACGAAAGAAAATGGCCGAGTTTATACGGGATCCGCAAAGTCCTGAAGAAGAGCAGGAGCAGCCAATTAACGTAAAAGGAAAAGAAGATGATGAGCAACGACAACAGCAGCAGAATAGAGAAACCCAGAAATGTCTCTGCGATTTCTGTGGAGAATTGAGAGCACTGATCTACTGCAGGGCCGATACTGCTAAGCTCTGTATCTCCTGCGACCATGACGTCCACTCGGGTAACCCACTCTTTGGAAAGCACTCTCGGTCGCAACTTTGCGATGCTTGCGCTTCAAACCCGGCTTCAATTTACTGTTCCACGGAGAATCTCGTCCTCTGTCAGAACTGTGACTGGGACAGTCATGGTGGTTCTTCATCCACGCTTCACGACAGGAGACCCCTTGAAGGGTTTTCTGGCTGTCCTTCGGCGATTGAGTTATCTTCCATTCTTGGGTTTGAAGACGTAGGGTACAAGTCTCTGTTACTGAGAGAGGATGACCCTGAAGGGAATTCATTTGTTTCTGTCCACTATGGATCGATGGGTGATAAGCTCACTGATGATTTGGCATGGGACACTTCTGTTGTAAGTCTCGACAATCTGATTGTTTCGACTAATTTGAGCCAAAATTTCCAGGCAATAGGGATCCCTCCTCCGCCCAAGGTAAGGCTCTGAAAGTTCCTTTTCTCTTCTATTTATTTTATTTTGGCTAAATTGGATTAATTCAAATTGGGCTTAAATAAACGGTGGGATCTCAGAAACTTATACTTCTGGTTTCCTCTATTTTGAACGAGAATTTCTTATTGCTGTTTTGCTTTTGACTATCATCATTTGTTATTAACATTCTTTAGATGTTCTTTTTTTTGCCTCAGAACCGAAAAACAGCTTGTGGGAAACACAAGGAAGAGATGCTCCATCAGCTCTGCAAACTAGCAAAGTTGGAAAGCTTAAGCAGCATGAACATTGAACCTGGGGAGATCGAATCACTTCTTGGGTTAGAAACTCCAATTCTGGAACAAAATCTACAGAGTGGATACATGCATACAGGAATTGAACACAACACAGGGATAACATTATTATCTGGTTACGATGTAAGCCCTCTTTTTCACCTTGCTTTAGTCTGAATCACCTTGTTATACTCCCTATCATTTTATTTCTCATTGATTAGCAATGTTGATATGGTAGTGCTTTCTATAGTAATTCACTGTGCAGCCTTGAAGGGTCTCTTCTATTTAATTGAGCCGTTATGCGAAGGTTTTGTTAAGGTGGCAACTAATAGAAGAGGCTTTGAGATTTAGGAACTCATTCAAAGGCTAGCTTTAGGATTTAGGAAAGTTCTGTGGTGGGTGGCCTATTACCATCCTAACTTAAGTATGCCTATCTCTTTTTCTTGATCCTTCTTTAGTGGAAAAAATGAATTAGTACTGCATCATCTCTTCTCTTATGTGAATGAATATTCCTGCTCCTCAACCAGCTTTATTACTTAGAATGTGGTATCAATTTGTTCACCAAGTAACCCTACAGTTRTCCCTTCAGTGAGCTGGTCATCAGTAATCTATTTTCAGCTGGTATGGGTTAATGGTGCATGAGTGTACTACTAATAAATTAATGTTAGGTCATTAGGTGTTGGCATTTAAAGGTCTTGGGTTCTATGGTGGCAATCTCTTGGGAGTGCTGAAAGGAAGAACCAACCTTAGCCAGTGGAGTTGTGTCCATGCATCAAAGATCATATCTGTTACAAGTTTGTTTTTTATGGATCTTAATCTAATCTATTATTTAATTTCAGCCTGTAGTTTGATCTATTTTTTGAGCGGTTATGGTTGGATTGAAGCATTGTGAATTTATAATTGGTTTCAGCCTGTAGTTTTGCTTCTTCAATTTGATATGATATTTACCTGGTGAAGTTAAATATTTGGTTTCAATGTATGCAGGCAAGTGTACTTCAATGGCATGGTGACTGTGGTGAGCCAGCAGATCAAGTTCCAATTTCACTCACTTATTCAGAGAACCATTTAGAGGAAAGCCTGTTGGTTCTTGGCAAACCTACTGAAGATTGTGGCACTGTAAGCCATGCCAACGCTGGCTACAAAGAGCAGTCACAATGTCCCATTGTTACAGAGAGCTTACCAATCTTGGCAAGAACTTTTCAACATGAGTTAACTAGAATTGACAGGGGCTCAGTGATCTCAAGGTACAAAGAGAAGAAGAAAGCAAGAAGGTAACCACATTATCTTTGACCTTACCAAAAGTAAATAAATAAAAACTTCATGAAGACAGTTGGTATAAGTACTTTACTATTTTTCAATGAGTCAGAAAACTAAAATTAGATTTCATTTATGATTAAAGAATATGAGCCAACTTCCTAACTTGAATTAGGAAACAACATGATTTTTATATTTAGAGTGAACTGAGGACTTTGTCTTTCATCATTTTTATATTTAGTGAGCTGACACTCTTAATTGGAAAAAAAAAAACAGATATGACAAGCATATTCGATATGAATCCCGGAAAGTTCGTGCAGAGAGCAGGACAAGGATCAAAGGGCGTTTTGCCAAGGTGGATAACATAAGTACTGGCACATAAAAGAGACAACTCACTTGGAGTTTTTTGGAGCATTTCAATCTAGTTTTAGTATTCTCTACTCTTTTCAGAGTGTTCTTTTATTGTTTTGTTTTGCAGATTAATATCTGAAAGATAAGCAGTGGCAGCTAAATTTGCTTACAGATACACATCTCACTTTTTTGTTTTTATTGTTTTTTTTTGTGCCCCATGAAAATGTGAAACTGTATGGAAATTGAGGTAATTCATATCTCATATTTGAGAAATGACTGCCTAAAATAAATCTCTGCTTGGTTATCAGAGTTTTACCTATTGAGCTGAGGTTTAAGCCATGTTTTGTCTTCTAAGCTTGAAACACAGTGCCAGCAGCTATGAGAAACAAACCTTGTTCTCTGGTGCCTATTACTAGAGGTCAGTTTTCAGCACTCATAATTTAACAACGGATATAGCATTAAACAGAACAAAATGGCGAAACAGGATTCATGTAACCAACCCCATTATAGTAGGGATGATTGCTGGAGGTCAGTATATCCAACAGAATGAAGCAACACATGTAGGCTGTAGCTAGATGAATTGTTTAGAGAAAAGATTTAGATTGCCCAGATGTTAGATGTAGGAGCAAGTTTTTAAGTATTGATACATATCATACCTGCACATTGCATGGGAAGAATGGCAATGTTTCGGTGTCATTCTCCCATATCTAAGAGTAACAACTAATGACTGATAAACATCAGTTTATCAATTGGTAGATCTTTTGTGCATTTGTTGACAAACATATGTAAGCTTGTTGAACATGTTACAAGTTCAGAGGTTCCTTAACCTGATGGAGAGTCTATGTTGGATAAATGTCTTTCCATGTGACTAAAATAAGTTGAATTGAGTTGAGAATATTTCATTTTTTTGGCACTCCAAGTCCCAGATTCTTGATGCTGCATTTGGTTCCTTGTTATTGAAATAAGTGGGTAAGTGTGTAAGAAATCTTTCCATTCATTTTCTTTTCCAATCCAAAATGTACTAGAGACTCTGTTTGCACTTTGCAGTGCAAATCTGAACCAGCGCCCAACTCAGTTTTGCACCCATTTGTTTGTAACTATGATTTGAACTCCTACAGTCCTACCGGATATAAAACTTGTACTTTTTGTCTCATTTGCATTCACTTGAAGTGAAAATTTTGCATCCCAAAAACCAATGCAAAATTTGTATCACCTTCCTAGTTCCTCCTACCTCACGTGGGGACCAAATCATCTTGTTTCTTATATCTGTCCCAAACATATAGCCCTCCTCTTACCTCCATTCTCTTTCATATAAGATGGGGAACCAACATCATTTCACCACTTATTTTACTTCTTACAAACAAATAAAGCCAAGTCTGAAGCAAAAGTAAACCAGAATTCACACTCAACCTATTTGCACTCCCATGCATTTACACCAGTGCAATTGAGATTCAACTTGCAAATAATTCGAGCCTGAAGAACCGAAGGCAACATAAAAACCATACTCACAAAATATAAAATTCATACCATATATACATCTTGTTGTAAGAATTTAAGAGTTCATTTGGTTCATAGTCAAAATCAGAATTGGAACCGGAATGGCCTATTCCCATAAACTGTTTGGTTCAGATAAATTCATTTTTATATTTATGGGAATGCCATTCCACCAGGAATAGGAATGGGGTTCCCATTCTGCCCAACCAAACAGTTGGAATCGRAATCCAATTCCAAACCCCTATTCCCACAAATTAAACAGGCCCTAAGAGAATTAGGGTTCTTAATCGGTCCAAGTTAATTCCTTTTTTAATACAGCTTTATCAGACTTGCTCCGGAGTACACGTCTAAGTAAATGCCCATCCATCCTTATTGAAATCCAATCCACCCAATTTCATATAGCAGCTGGACTTGGAAGCCCAAAAGCTCTTTTACTTGAAAGAATTTCAATTATATTAACAAACCTATAGGCCTGGGCCCGGCCCAGCCCAATCTACACCACAGTCCACACGTGACTATGAGAACTGGACCTGGACTTGAAACTGTCTCCATCCTTTGGAGTTTGGACCTTAACTCAAGCTCGCTTTCATAATTCATCCCCAAAAAACGAAAAATGTGGACCCCACCAACAAAAATGTACTGGGTTGGTGGGGCCCACCATCTTCTCTCCTTCTGCAAATCTGCTGCTATTAGCTTTTTTTTTCTCCTGTACAGAGCAAACTCCTCAGTCTTGAGTAAGAGCAAAAGGAAAACAGAAAAGAACTAGAACAGTAAGGTTAGGAGGTCCGTCTTGATTCTCTCAGCAGCACCGACGTCGTCTCCGTTGCCGTCGATCAGAGCAGTGACCGTTAACCTCAGCTCCAGCTCATGCACAGCAACACCGGCGGCCAATACCTCCACCCTGTGTTTGTCGAATACCCCAAAAATTTCCTTCACCAGACCCCGCCGTACCATCGCCGAGACCTCGAAGAACGCTACGTTGCCGGAAACAGTCACGTCCACCGACGACGATGCATTCGGATGGTTGCACAAGCGTAATGCACGAATCGCCGCTGCCTTCCGTCGTTTCAATTCTTCTAAGCATTCCTCGAGTTCTTTTATGTAAGCAATTGTCTCCTCGATTATCTTCACCCTCGTAGCCTGCATTTCCTCAGACCCGTTATCTATTTTACCATTTCGATACAACCCAGCACAAATACCAGAGGGGGGGGGGGATTCCGCTAACCTTATGGAGGAGATTGGGAATCATGGATTGGAGAGTTGCGTAGAGACCGCTCATCTGGACTCTCCGGTCGCGTTCTATCTGAGGCGAAGGTTTCCGTTTTCTTGAACATGAAGCAGCTTCTGCGTTAATAGTGATTTCCTTTGACGGCGAAAATTCAGATAATGGAGCAATTGCAGCATCGCTGTAGCCCTCCATGAGCTTCAGAAGCAGCTTAGAAACGTCTTTGTCTTCATGGTTTCCTTCCATCGATTCGTCTCTGTTAAACAAACTGTTGAGCCTCTAAAACCATGGTGAGAGGGGGAGGAGGGTATGGACCATTTATCGAGTTGGGAAGTTGTGTACGAGGGGCAATGGCGGTCGTGATGTTTGGTTCCGATTAAGGAAACTAATCGAATATTTTCTGCAAAGAGATTTGCCCGCAGGCGCGCAGAGAGAGAGAGAGAGAGAGAGAGAGAGGAATGTGCAGTGTACGCACCAACGAATTATAACGTTTTGATTCTGTTTTTTAGGGGAAGTTGAAGCATGTGCGGTAGTTACATTATAGTTCTCGGAACCAATTAGTCAATTACTCATACTTCTTTTCCAGAATGACAAAGTTATCCTTATAATGAATCTCAAGATGGTTCCATTTCTCTTCAGTTTTCTGGTGAAAAAGACCAAATGAGGTCGAATCAGGGTCGGTTTTAAGTAGGGGTGAGAAAAATACCGAAAACTGAATCGACTGAAAAAATCAATCGAAAATCGGTTAATCGAATGAATCAGTCCGTTTGGTTTTGGTTCGGTATTTAAAAAAAAATGAAGGTATCGGTTCGGTTTCGGTTAATCAATATAGAAAATTGGCAGTTAATTGAACCGATCGGTATACATATATTTCTATATATTTTATATATATTATATATATTATATATTATAAATTAATAAATATACATTATATATAAATATATTTATATTTTTTATTATATTTTTATAATATAATGTAAAAATAAACAAACCAAAAAATCGATAAACCAAACGGATGGTTAACTGAACCAGTCAACCGGTTAACCGATTGACATTGGTTCGGTTTAGGTTACCAGTTTTCTAAAAATCGGTAGTATCAGTTCGGTTACAAAAAAAGGCTCACGGTTCGGTTAACCAAATTATGAGCACCCCTAGTTTTAACTTTTAAGGTCTATTTGTGGCATTTGTTCTTTTTTTTTTACTCTTTCCTTTTAAAAGAATGAATCATGTTTTTTAAAAACTTGATTTTTATTAAATATAATACATAACTTAAAATTTATATTATCTTTATTGATTAAATTGAGTAATTTAATATGTATATTATCATAATATATTAACATATGATTTAAAAATTATCATTATAATTTAAACTTTATAAATATTACATTTTACATTACTTATTATACACATTCAAATATTAAAATGAAAATAAATGACCAAACCACTTAAGTAATTCAATAATCAAGTGAGACCATGACCGTGTAAAAGTGATTTTCTCATTTTTCGAAGCAATTTTGTACAAAATGTTATAAAATAAACACCATCGATAGTTCGATGCAAAACAGCCTCTAAATCGATCAATCTTCAGTTTTTTCGGTTTGGTTTAGATTAACCTAGAAAGAAAAACCTACAATTAATTTAACTAGTTGGCATAATATATTTATAATATATATTATAAATACCTACTTACTCGTGAGTGTTAAAGTGGAGTATTTTATGATAAGGGCAAATTTCATAAATTATCTTTATGATTTAGCTAATTGGCTAACTATACTCTGTTTACATATTATCTTAAACTATCCTTATTGTTTCTAAGAATTGATATCATGTGCTACCAGAAAGAAACGAAATGTTGAATTTTCTCTCATGAAAAATTTGCCCTCCTCCCATCGGTTGTCAGAACCACTAACGTAGCAAAAATATTTGTGGAAATGAAGAGATTGTAYTGGGAAACCCTAGAATTGGAAACCGGAAAAATTGCGGATTTGGGGATTTTGTGGCATTCAAATGCAAGAGCCTCAGATCTGTCATGGCTGATCTTGCAGGTGGTGGGGAGGGTGTTGGCATTCGAAGGGAAGATGTCGAGGAGGCGGACATTGGTGAGGCTGAGTTTGAATGCATATGAGTTTATAAATTTGTTGAATACGTCAGATCCGATGAAGGTTGAGCTCAATTGATCATTGCTTATAGTGGCCCTTTTAACCCTCTCCTCACCGACGGTGGCCTCTCTGAGTGGAGAACCTTCCCAAACGGCCAAACGAGTCCGGTAAGTTCGAAGCTGAGAAGGAATGTTCCCACTATGACCGATTCTATTTCCCAAACAAGAACCTTCCCAAAAGAGGATGGAGAGCTCTATCAACACACTTCCTTTCAACAAAGCAAGTTATTTTTCATTCTCAAGAAAATTAACAAATCAAATTAATTGATTCTCTCTAATCTCTTGGCACTTATTTATTTATTTATTATTTATTGAGGTGGGGGCTTTATGGGGATTAAACCTGTTCATGGCCTAGATAACCTAATGGATTGGCCCTATCCAACCCATTCTATATCAGACTTGGACAAACTTTTAAGCCTACCGGCTTGGGTTCTTACTCTAA